ACCCCTGGCACAAGGAGTGGGGGGAAATTGATGAAGGGTGATTTGACACGACCTAGCAAGAAGGAGACACGTAGGCGCGATCTGATCGAAGGGTGACAACTCATCCAAGCAAGCCCAGTTCGCCACATTCGGAGTTTGGGTATTTAGCCACCTCGGCCCAAAAAATCATCTCGGCGTAGAGGCACCTCGACACCCAATCCAGTTCGGGACTAAAGAATTGAAGTGCCAGCTTGGAGCTAATGAGCCGAAATGCCACTTAACCGACTCCAAAGGCCTCCCCAACAGATCCCAAATTTCTCGAGATCAAGATGAGCCAATAGATCCTGAATTTCCCGAGATCACAACGAGAACTCATCCCGGCACTGCCTGAATTGGAGGTAAACGGTAAACCTTATCTACATATTACTCCCCTTCAAAAACGGAACAAACCTCATCTCCACAGCCCGGAGATCCCGAAGCTCTTCCGTAAGGCCCACGATTACTCCAGTATATAAAGACATGAAACCTCAAGGCAAAGGTACACGTGATTACTCTACTCACTAGCACTCAAGCTCTCAAGCATTTAGCTCGCATTTACAGCATAAGTACTGACTTAAGCATCGGAGCGACCCTGACGGGTTAGCTACATCGGGTTCTCTGATCCACTGTTTTGCAGATTGATCTAGCTCACTGCTCAATTGGAGTTCAGATCGCCCTCCAGCTAGGAGTAGCCAGATCGCACACCATCAAGAAGCACGATTGTCAATTTAGGGGGTATTTGAGGACATGTAGTTTTGTATTAAAAACAAGGAAAATTTCACGATTAGTATCTTACTTTGGGTTTAGTGTCACTTTGGTCTCCGAACTTTAAAATGCAATAATTCAGTATCCGAACTTTCAAAATGTAACAATCCAGTACCTGTTGTTAACTAGTTGTTAATCAACCATTAAGTGACATTTTAAAAAGACACAAATGCCTTTCGAGTGTATCTAATTTTCTTCATCAATTATCCAAACATTGACAAAAAATTAATAGTCCCAAATCCTTGCATCTTCCATTTAAGAAAGTTGGGTTCATTAGAATGCCCACTCAAACATAACCCCAACTTTCTTGAATGAAAGAAGCAAAGATTTGAGACTATTAATTTTTTGTCAATGTTTAAATGATTGTTTATAAAGAAAATCAAATGACACTCGAAAGACATTTGTGTCCTTTTCAAATATCACTTAACAGTAGGTTAACTGCTGATTAATGGCAAGTACTGAATTATTACATTTTGAAAATTTGGGTGCTAAATTATTACATTTTAAAATTCAAAAACCAAAATGACACTAGGCACAAATTACAAGATACTAATTGAGAATTTACCCTAAAAATAAAAACTAGCTACCACATCAGCAAAAATAAAACATTTTTATTAATATAACAATTGTTTTTTATTTTAAACATAAAGCCAACCATATTGCCAAAGACCACAGAGCGGTTGAACTAATACCCAAAATTCTGACGAGCTAAATGAGAATGTAACAATATGCCTCTGGGCTCTGGTTGTAATATAGTGTAAATTGAATAAGGATGAAAGAATAAACAGTCTACATCTATTGCACATTTTTGTACTGCATTTATTCTTCACTTCAGGGGACGTCTGTCATATACTCGATGGAGAAGGGAGAAAATTTTGGCTGCTTATGGAATCCTCTGTAATTCCATATTGGATTAATTGAACACTGGTTGTGTAAAATCTGGATTCAGTCCTCATAAAAATTGTTTTCATACCGTTTTTACGAGACTTGCAGCCTTGCTTTGAGAACATCTCCCATAAATGAAAAAAAAATGCAAAAGTATAGAGATGTCCCAAATGTATGGCTGTAAGTGTTGCGTAGATGGTGTAAGAACAAATTTTGTGAGATTGAATCCAGTATTATCTGTATAGCGGATTGTAAAAATAATGATAATGTCTCACGCCAGTCATTAAATACATATTACCCACAATCATTCACTCTCTCATTAACATTTACAAACCACATTTGTTACTACGGTGTCATAGCTGCACCGAAACAATAAATCAAAGGCATTGTTTTATCAATATAGTCCCACCTTTTAATTTGAATTAAAGAGCTGGCATCTTGATGGGGCCACAAGGCCTACAACAATAAATCGAAGGTATTGATTTTTGAGGTTTTTACAATTCACTCCATCCCAGAATTCATAATTTGATCGTATAATTTGGGTCAGTGTCAAGAGGGGAAAGATGCCAAATTCAAGGGGATGGTGTTTATAGGTGGAGTTGATCCTAAATTAATGTTTTAAAAAATGATTCAGAAACGGAATTGTTCTACTCACTGGTTTTTAGGTCAACGATTTAACCGTTTGATTCAAACAAATGGTCTATTCTAACAGCAAAATTAAAAATAATTAAAATATAAAAATGGTCAAAAACCGTTGAACGAGTCGATGGATCGACCACCCGAGTCAACAGTTTATTGACTTTTTTAATGATTTTTTACCAGATTCTAAGTTTTGGGTAAAACAAAACCGGTTGTCTAAATGGTTCCCAAGACGAACTGTCTGACCGTCTGGATCAACGACGGTTCAAAAATGTTGTCCTAAATACATTTAAGAAAATAATTTTTCAATTCTAAGGAAAACTGAACCGTAAAAATCCCTTGATTTTTTTTTGTTTTGGCCCTAAGCTACGATACGCCAAAGTGAACTCTAACATTTATGGCTGGTGTGGAGTATTGTCATTGATTCCACAGCCTATCACACAGCCATTGTTTTCAGCTAATACAAATTCATGTTGGAGATATAGCTGTACAAACTAACGCATCATATGAAACAGTCCAGGCCGTCTCCTTGTAAGATGAGAAGAGAATAAAAATAAGGTAGGAGATGAAAACAAAGGGAATGGGATCTGCTCCTCACACGGGGTAGATGAAAATAAAAAAGGTAGGCCGTCTCATATGCACATCCACCATGTATTGAAAAACATCTTTTATAAATAATAATTTATAAATACGGTAAATGTTCCTAATGTATGGTACGATGTACGTATGAGGCGCGTATGAAACGCCCTGTGTGAGGAGCCTATCCGGTCTCTAAACAAACAGCTAATCCTTTGGTCACGGCATCGCGTGTCAATTCCATCCCAAACCCTTGATGGTTTGACCAAAATGGAAACCCTAATATACCATTGACAGGGTCCTACAACTATTGACAAAGCTGCAGGTACAATCATTCAATTATGTTGACCAAAGTTTAAATTTGGACCAACTCAGCGTTGTCTCCTCTCCTCATTCTTGGAACATGCATGGCACACGCTATACATTATCAAGGCCACGTACTTATTAAATAAAGCTACTGCCCAACGTGTGAATTGTGAAATTCTAAATAGCGCGCCATGGGCTTGGTCAGACCCTCTGATAGCTAGCTAGCTATGGCCCTCTTCTATTCGTATCAAATGATTTATCAAAACATAATTATATTCAAGGTTTTTAAAATTAACCCGTACAACAAACCGGTTAGGGTCTGGTTTTCCGGTCAAATGATTCGACTGTTTAAACTGAACGAATGGCCCATTCTAACAAAAAGTTAAAAAATAAAAAATAAAAATCGATTAAATTAATTATTAAACGGTTTAACTGCCCAAGTCAGTGATTTATTAACCAAATCAATAGTTTTGGGGAAATAACAGTTCCGGGGTAAAACATACCTGACCGGTTTTCGGTTTTTCCCGTAATTTCTAAATTCTTAATTTTTATATCTAAATTCTAAATCTTAAATCCTAAACTAAACTGTTAAACCTTTAAACTTAATCCTAAACCCTTAAATCCTAATCTTAAAACCCTAAAAATTTAAATATTAATTAGACACATGTCCTCCGATCAGGTAGAAACCAAAATTTTCTGATATCGTGGGTAGGGTCTTGTGAGGAACAGATCGTTTTCTCGTGTCTGTTGGTGGAAACTTGGATCCATCATAGCATATCATTGCTTTTTCTTAATAGGGGATTGGGTCACGCCTCCTCATTACTACTTCTAGGGAAGGATGACTTACGACTAACTCCCCTGCTAGTGCTAGTCTACGAATGGATTGATAGATAACCTCTCATGATGGATTATAAACAGATGCTGATGATCGAATTGAAATTAGATATTCATGGATTTGACCGCATATCATATACATAGATATAACCGACCGAGTCTTATTGATGAAATCAGCTAAAAGCTTTTCAATTAGAATAAGAGAGAAAATGCGATCAGCTCCAGCGAGCTGCTGTGCTGGTACTGGTAGAATTAGCCAACTACCGAACAACCACGAAAATAACGTCGGAAGACTTCTGGCCGGAACACCTTTCTAACTATGCTCTGCAATTAAACCTTTTCTTCCATTTTTCTTTTCTTAAATTTCAACAACTAATTACAAGTTTAGAACCACAAGCAACATAAACAAGTGGGATTATTCATCCTTCTTATAATTAAATACTTGCATTTCAATTGCCTTACCTTCCTTCATTCAACAAATATGAAATATTTTATTTTACCTTCCCTGCCGTACTGAAAAAGAAAACAAGTCTATCAATGCCGACTTTAAAAAATTAGCTTGTTGAATCCTTCTCCAAATATGTTGCCAAAGTTGAACGAGTATGGGTGGTAAAAGAAGAAAAAAGGGTGAGGTATCGGGTGAGAAATCAGGGAAGAATCAACACACACACAAAAAAAAAATAAATAAATAACAGCACCGATAAAATCCACCGCTGACTGCATAGTAGAAAATTGAGAAAAATGAAAAGCAAGGAGACGCTTTCTTCATTGCTTCTACATTCAAATCTTTCTAACCGTGTTATGGTTGGAGGTGAGTGAGCCCCTCTCCTGTGATAGCAACGACAACGTTAAAGGTAATAGAACCTTCCATTTGAGACAGACAAATCAACAACCAAACCAAGTCCTCTTTTTCTCTTATATAAATCTCATCTCCCTCTTCATTTTCCCCCACATCACATCTCACCCTACCCAGACAGGATCTACTTCAATTCTGGGACATCTGCGATATCCCAAGAAAAATTCGTATAGACCCAGATAGTGATTAGTGAAGCAGAAGGCCAAAGCAATCGATTCCAATTTCCTTGAAGACACTCCTACCTGAATTCTTAAAATCTGTTCTTAGCTCTTGAGTCTTGATCATATCTGGGTACCTTGAATTCTCTATTTCCAGTCTCTATTATTAGATTACAGAGGAATTTGAGCATTCTCTCTTTTACGAAATTATTTCGCTTTGATATCTTATTTTTTGGGAAATTCGAATTGGGCTCTCTCGTACTATATAATTATTTAGGAATTAATCAAATATTGAGCACACCATCATTCATCATGACTACAGTCTCCAGCCCCATGTTGTTTCTCTGTGTTTTGATTTCTCTCTTCTTTTCATCCTCTGCTCAAACCTGCCAAAGTTATACTTTCTCTAGTAATAGGCAATTTAGTTCCTGCAGTGATCTTCCTGTCTTGAATTCATACCTTCATTGGACATACAGCCCATCAGCAGGAAGCGTCCAGATTGCGTATAGACACACTGGCGTTACCACCTCCAACTGGGTTGCTTGGGCAATCAACCCGACCTCACAGGGAATGATTGGAGCACAAGCTCTTGTTGCTTACCAGCAGTCCAATGGATCCATGCTTGCATATACATCACCTGTGACTTCAGTTTCCACCAGCTTGGCCGAGGGAAATCTTAGTTTTCAAGTGTCAGATCTATTGGCAACCTTCGATAATAATGAGATGACAATATTTGCTACTATAGAACTACCCAACAACCTTACCACAGTGAATCAGGTGTGGCAAGTTGGCCCAGTTGATCAGAGCACTCCTCGCAGTCATACAACCAGCGGAGACAACATCAACTCTAAGGGAAGTTTGAATTTTCTTTCAGGGCAGACGACAACCACGGGTAACTCAGTACAGAGGAGGAGGAATGTAAGTCATTACTTTCTCTGTTAGAAAATTTAATTTCTACAGTCATCCATGTTCTGTTCTTGTTTTTTTCCTCATCTCCAATTTTATGTTTTTCATGTGTTAATTGTTCAGTATTTAAATAAATTCACCTGGGCTGTTTTTGGCTTGAAAGAAAAGATCAAAATAAGAGAGAAACAGAGAGTTGAGGGAGTTATGTGAAGAGCTTTGGCTCAACTTTCAGTTTCTCTCTTATTTTCTTTCAAACCAAACATAACCTTAACATAACCTTGGTGCTGGTGTCAAGTTTTCAATGTACTGCTCTGTTTTCCCTTGTCAGCAAATCTCTAACCCTGGAAAACCAAAACTGGATATTATCAGGTTCATGGAGTGTTGAATGCTATCAGTTGGGGTACCCTGATGCCTCTTGGTGCCATTATAGCAAGGTACTTGAAGGTGTTCAAGAGTGCAGATCCGGCATGGTTCTACCTTCATGTTGCTTGCCAGTCTTCGGCCTATATCATTGGTATTGCTGGATGGGCTACCGGAATCAAACTCGGCAGTGATTCTGCTGGCATTGTGCAACATGCCCACAGGAACATAGGAATCGTTCTTTTCTGTTTTGGCACTCTACAGGTACATATATATATATATATATATATATATAAATGAAGGGGTTGCTACTTCCATTTGCCACCTAACTTGACTAAATTTGGGGCACATTTATTTAATTACCAAGTAGAGATAAGATAGTTATGAAGCAAGAGATTAAATGGAATTAAAGCCTTGTAAGTAAGAGATGCTTATTAGCTTTTGTCATGTATAGGTGCTTGCCTTGCTTCTAAGGCCCAACAAAGATCACAAGTACAGATTCTACTGGAACATTTACCACCACTCAATTGGTTACAGTGTCATCATCCTAAGTGTCATCAACATATTCAAGGGCTTCGATATATTGCAACTTGGGAAGAACTGGAAGAGAGCATACATTGGCATCATTGTATTCTTGGGTTTTAATTTTCTGATGTTGGAGGCAATCACCTGGAACATTGTTCTAAAGAGAAGGTCGAGGAGCTCTGAAAAGTCCCACCATGGAGTTAATGGGGTTAATGGTGTCAATGGATATTATGGTGACAGGTCTCAAGAGGTGGTATAACCGAGAGAGAGAGAGAACTGATGGGAGAGTTTTGTGTTCACAGACTTCTTTCTCAGAGCATTGATTTATCATGTATATACATTTAGAGGGTGAGGAGCTTGTTAATTTAGTAAGTCAATATTCTTTCTTAACCTAGTAGTACGAGTGGTTTTGGACTTTGGACATTGTTGTGTATGTATCTATATATGTATGACGGGATTTCCCTTTTTTTTTTAATCTTCTCAACCCGTAATCTTGTACTTCTATAATGTTCTCCCTCTTAGATACACTGATGGTCCCTTTGGTTCGCAGTTGGAATCGGAATTGAAATGATCTATTCCCATAGTCTGTTTGGTTCAGACAGGAACGGGAATGAAAATTGGATTTAGCAGGAATGGGATTTTATTCCCAAGGAAGGGAGAGGGAATGGCCATTCCCTCAAATGGGGGAATGTCATTTCACCAGGAATGGGAATTGAATTCCAATTCCATCTGACCAAACAGTTGGAATCGGAATAATACATTCCAATTCTGATTCCAAACCCCTATTCCCGCAAACCAAACAACATGATCTAAAATAGGCCAAATCTCCTGCACTTTTTTCCTATACTTCCATTCAGTCCGTGAAAAGTGTCCCATATAAAAGGAAGGGTTGCCATTTTGAACATAGTGACATGATTAAAGATGATTTAAAGAGTAATTTGAATTAGTTGAACACAATAGTTGTGTAGTGGGCTCTGGAACCAATGATAATCCCCCATGTCAGTCATAAAATGTTTTGAAATTCATAGTGAGAGACTAAATTGTTGTGAGCTCCCTGTACTTAATGATTGGTGTGAGGCATTATGATTGATTCCACAGCCCACTTTCAGCTAATCCTATATCTAAGGAGTATATACACCAAGGGAGAATGCTTGTTGTTTCTTTTTGGGCAAATTTCTTGAACTACCCCTAAGGTTTAAGAAATTGATTAATTTTACCCATACTATTTTAGTATTGTCTTAAATTACCCTTACTGTTTTTGACAATTGACTAACTCTACCCTTACCGTTAGCATCAGTTAATATTTCGTCAAAACTTGTACACCTGAGACGTTTAATTTTTTTTAAATCCAATTTTACCCATACCATCTTCCTCCTTTCAATAGTGGCAAACCGAGCTGGCTTGGTCCTTAACTAGCGGCGGGGATAACCCCCTCCACCTCCGACCTCTCTCTCTCACTCCCCCACCCCCTCTTCTTCCCCCTTCAACTTCATTGTCTTCCCCTTTCAATGGGATTGGGAGGTGCCCCCACCCCGATGCCCTTTTTAGTCCTCTACGTGTGTGAAATGGCTTCGGCGTCAAGTCGTCCCCCTCCCTAGAATCTCTACAGAAGCCTTCATCAACTGCTCTAGGGTGTACACATGTGGCTCCCTGGCATAGAACACCAAGCACCCACTCTTCACTATGTTGGCTTGTACATGGTTTCGACGAGGCTCATATCAGGTTTAATGCCATTGCCACTACAACTTCAAGCGACAATGGTAGTTTTGCTCTTTTGCTCTTTCACTCTTTGAGTTGCTTTCCGGCATAGCCTCGGGCAAACCTGAAAAACCCCATTCCCTCCAACCACCGACATCTCTCTGATGCTCGAGAAAATAGGGTTTTTATCAAGAATATTCAGATCTAGAGTTGAGATCGTCTAGTGAGCTTTGAACTCAAATATGGAGCCTGATCTGATGTACGACCCCACTCCCTTCGACCACCGACATCTCTTTAGTGTTTCTCCTAAGAATACTCAGATCTAGAACTTGAGATCACCCATCAAGCTTTGAACTCAAATCTGGAGGCGGATTTGATGCGCATGATGGCAACTATGTTTTTGTTTTGAACAACAAATTCTTGCTCATAAATTGCCTTTTAATGTAAGGGAAAAAATGATTTTTCGTGTGCTTCAGTTACCATTTAACGATGGTGATAGTTCTTAGAAACAGTAAGGGTACTTTAAGATAATACTAAAATAGTAGGGGTAGAGTTAGTCAATTTCCTAAACCTTAGGGGTAGTTTAAGAAATTTGCCCTTTGTTTTTTGAACAACAATAGCTATAGATGAGACTTCAGTAGATAAAAGTTAGGGAAATTTTCTTAAAGTACCATTATGATTTAGCTAATTGACCAACTCACCCTTACTGTTTACATATTGTTTGAAAGTACCCCTACTATTTTTGACAATTGTCTATTGTCTAAAACCTCCCCTACCATTAATTCTTCATCATAAACCATTCACATGTAACATCATGTGATTGATATATTTTTCAAAAATCCCTTAAGTACCCTTTTGTCATAGAGAACTTAGGGCACCAAGACTAGGAGCGGGACCATATGGGAGTAACTTTGCTTTCTTCAAGTTCATCAGTTGGGATTCAAGAGTTAGTGATGTACAAAGAAACGTTCTCTATCAAGAACAAAGCATGGGCTATTGGGGTTGCAGTATACACTAGTCGTGAGCTCAAGAACACAACGAAGAGCAGAGGGTTTTTGATTTTTTTTTTCTCTTCTTTTTTTTCCTCCCTTATGACAAAATGCAATCGGAAAACAAGAACTCAAGGCACCAAGACCAAGATTGGAAGTTGATGAGGGGCGATTTGGCCCTCTAGTGATGTGATGACACATGACACCTCAAAATAGTTAGATGACATTTCAACACCATGTAAGCAAACCTAAGGAGCACCTCAGACACCTCGCACCCACCTTGATGACCTCGACAGACATCAGATTGGCGTAAGAGAAGGTTTACTTCTGCTGTCTTGACCCAAGTTTAGCTAGTGACTTGCCTAATGTGTCGGGCGACCTCCCCCACGAGGGGTTATCGTCTTTGACTTCCCTAGGATCACGACGCCATGTTGGAAGAGCTAGTTATTACCTCGCCTACTTCGGACGTGACTGGATGGACATTACCCACTTACGTGGAGTTCATCTCTTAACATGAAACCACCTTCGAACCAGATGGACTGGAGATCTCAGACGCGCTTTGTGAGCCTCACGACAGCTAGCCTATATAAAGGCATCCCCATTCATAGAAAAGGTACGCACGATTTAGCTCTCTAAGCACTCTAGCTTTCTTACTTTCTTGCGAACAATTACTAGTTCGCTGACTTAAGCATCAAAGTGCCCACCCCAGGTCAAGCTACTCGAACACTTTGATATGTCTTCTTACAGTTCGGCCACACGACCTACCTAGTCCAACATTCGAGTTGTTTGCCAGCTGGGAGCACCAGATTGATGTGCGATTTGGTGCTCCCTGCTAGTGGACAGCTCGGATGTTGGGCTGATGAGGTTGTTTGGTCGAGCTGCAAGTAAATAATTAGAGTACCTGGGTTATTTTACTCAGAGTGGATAATTTGTTGCTTAAGTTAACAAATAGAGTTTGAGAGAGCTAAAAAGCGAGAGAGCTAGTGTGCTTTAAGAGCTAAATCCTACGTACCTTTTCTAAGGAAGGGGACACCTTTATATAGGCTAACTGTTGTGAGCTCCATGAAGCATGTCCGAGATCTCCGACATGTTTGATTCGAAGGCAGTTTTACACCCATGGATGGATTTCATGTAAGCAGGAAATGCTTAGCCGGTCGTGCTCAAAGTGGGTGGGGCAGTAGTTAGTTTTTCCGATGGGCTATGTGATCCTAGAGGATTTGGAGACGATAGCCCACTATGATAGGGGTCATCCACCACGTCCTACAAGTCGCCAACTAAACTTTACCCATGTCAACGGAGAGAGGTCACCCCTTGTGTTGAGGTCCCTAGCTCAATCCCAATGGCCGACCTAGTCCTGTGATGGGCGACCTGGTTTTGCGATGGACAACCTAGTCCTGTGATGGCCGACCTGGTCCTTCAATATGCAACCTGGTTCTATGATGGGTGATCTGGTCCTACGATGGGTGACCTGACCTTACGATATGTGACCTGGTCCAGTGATGGCTAACCTGGTCATGTGATGGCCGACCTCCTGCGATAGGTGGCATGGTCCTGCAATGGGTGACTTGGTCCTGAGATGGCCAACCTGGTCCTGAGATGGTTGACCTGGTCCTGCGGTGGGCGACCTGGTCCTGCGATAGGTTACCTAGTCTTGTGATGGGTGACTTGGTATTGAGATGGCCAACCTAGTCTTGGGCCGAGGTGCCTACGTGACGCCAAGATGTTAAGCAACGGTTCAGGGCCACCACGTGGTGCAATGTCATTGAAGGACCAAATTGCCCCTCCTTAGAAGCATTGACAGATTGAAGGAAACTCTATTTTTTAGTTCCTATGGATGGTAATCTATTCCCAAAGTATATCATCCTCCTGCATTGCAAGAACAATTGGAAGAGAAGAAAACGCATAAGGGATACTATCATACAAGTAAAAATTAAGAACATAAAAGGAAAAGAAAAACAAAGGAGGCGGTGGGTAAGAAGAAGAAGAAAAAGCAACCTGTTGTGTCCATATAACGATGTGTCGCTCCTACTGCTTGGTGGTGATCTCAGACTTGTGAGTTTCTTGGAGATTCATACTGGGCATTGTTTGTTGTTCACTGTTTCTGTGTTGGCTCCTTTTATGAGGATGAAGTCGCATGTTAAAGTAAGATTTTTTCTGATCATGTAGATACAATGAATAAAGAATGTATTGAAAAGGGGAAAAGGAACTCGTTGTCTCCCCATTGATTGTCTTTATAGATACTGTAGCATTGAAAACGGGAAGATGAGTTGTCCCATTGAAGCTCTCAGGCAGTGTACGCTCAAACCGAATTGAGAAGAAATACAGTGAAAGTCACCGATTCTTTTGATTGAATGGAATAAATACTCGACACAAAAGACGACTTAAGCGTTAAGGTGCCTTCGTGGGAAGAATTCTCAACTAGGTCGGACCAATCCATCCTAGAAGACGTAGACGGGTCTGGATTATGAGGGGTGGACTTGATTAGATCGGCAAAGGTGGGCACTGCGAGATGACAGTTTTGGGTATTCGGCGTTTGGGGGGTCGGGGGGAGAAGGGATCAATAGAGGTCGCTCAGTGGCCATGATGGAAAGACCAAAGGCCTCTTAAGCAACGAAGAGCCTCCAAACTTCAAAATGATGAAAGATTCAATGAAACTAATTGACTTTTATCCATTGGGTTTTGTTTTGAAAATTTGAAGACTATTGGAAGATAAATTTGATATTTCATTTTTTTCGTTAGTACTTAACAATGAATAGTAAGGATAAAGACAATATATAAATAATAATATTAGAGTTAGTCAATTAACTAAAACCATAAGGATAGTTTAAGAAATTTGTCTTAAAAATTGAGGCTGTTTTTGGTTTGACCAAGAGTGCAGGAAAAGTTTTCAATGCACGCTGTGTTTGGTTGCAATGTAATTTTATTTGAACTAATATAAATGCATGGGAGTGCAAATGAAAAAAAAAAAAACAAATTCTTATTTAATTTTATTTTGGCTTTAACTGTATTCTGCTTCATGTCTTAATTCACTTCATTTATAATACAATCAAATAAAATAAGCTAAAATTCAAAGTAAAAATAAACCATACTTTACACTCAAATCATTTGCACTGCTACAGTTTTGCATCAGTGCAAATTTAACACAGCCTAAACAAATTTTGTTAAGTTATTTGAAAAGTTTCTCTTAACTTTCTGTTTGTCACACTTTTTATCAAACCGAACATATCCTAATGGTTGATGATGAGTGTGGAAAGATTTTCGAGGAACTATATAATTAAGGGCAACTATTATATCATGTTCAATATTTCAATTACGTTTAGCTACATTGTAACCCTTATCTTACATTTTCCTGATAATCTGTTAGAGTCTTAACTTTCAAGTTTCAATTATCTAAAACAAAATCGAATCCGGATTTGCTGTGTGCTCCTTACGCGCACCTCACACAACTTCATAGCACATCCTGTGAATAACAGCACATAAGCTTGGGAGATGTTCATGATTTACACTGTTAATCTGTGATGTATTGTGAGTAATGTTCAAGATATTGATATCCGTTAATACGCCAGGGCGTCTGTCTCGGTGTTTTTTTTTTCTCTTTTTTTTTATTTTATTTTTTTTGAATTTGATTCAGATGGGTCGGTTTAAGACATGTTTACCCTCTGAATCACTGTCTGACCCAAAACACTCTCTGTAAGGATGTATCGAGAAGGCCTCGATATGATACTTATTGATTGATACAGCCTGATATATATCAAAATTTTAAATATTAATTGTGAGGTTGATATGAGCAGGCCCGTTCATGGATCGGATTTCAAGCCTAACTTTACATTATGCAGGGTTTGGACTTTAAGCTGAATTTATTCAAAATTTAGTAAAAACCAAGCCCAAATCCGACTTATTAACAAGTGTAGATGTGAGAAATGCTTTGTAAAGAACAGATCTCAACTCCATAAAAGGGCTCAATCTGCTACCTATAATTTGTACATTATCAATATCTCTTTTATCATTCATGAGAAAATATTCTCAATATACGGTCGGTGGTGTTACGTGGTAGAGATGTACTAACACTTTTTGTTTGTGGGTAGCAGTTTCCCGATTGTCCACAAAATTGCGCTAGCCAACCCGCTGTCCATGATTTTGCCTCCAGTCAACCTTGACTCCCTACATCATGTCATATTTCAGGCCTCGTATGTGGGATGGGCCTGGTCCGGGCTTAGTTGAAGCACCGTATCTTATATACTTATTCCGGCCTGGTCTGGCCCATGATCAAGTCGGTGTGGGTTTTTTATTGTCGAAACTCGAAAGCCAATCGGATAAAAAGGAGTTGAAATCTACTCCCATAAATAATTTTCTACAATATTTTATAGTATATCTCTGCCGTGTATTGAGAACATCTCCCGGTGATGCTTTATCATTTTTTATTCTTAGCGGGGATGTGTGTGGGTTGTTGTGAGAAACCATCTGTAATCTTTATTTGGAGATTAAAAATCCCAATCTAACGGTCTTAGACTGAAGTTCACCGTTCTCTCGCAAGTCACCACTGCAACCCTAATACCAAACTAGGGTTTTAAAAACTTTTAGCTCCTCTCTTCTTGTTTCCCCTCTTTGCCGAAGCCCAAACCTTCGTTTCCTGTGACCCTTCGACTTGCAGGGCTCAAAACCTAGAATCCTTTTTCTGCAACAATGGGTACATATCCATCGCTCATGTTCTTCGTTTCATTGAGCAATATATTTATATTCTTTTCTCTCTGATCTTAATGGCGATAAATCTCATCTTCTGGCAGGTATTTCTCGTGATTCCATGCACAAGAGACGAGCCACAGGAGGCAAAAAGAAGGCTTGGAGGAAGAAGCGAAAGTAATTGTTGAAAGTTTGAAACTTTAATCTTCAAAATTTGATCATTGCCTTTTCTTCTTGACTGTCTTGTGAACCTGTCCTCATCCAGCTTCCCTCTTTCTCTCTCTCTAGGTACGAGCTCGGGCGACAACCGGCTAACACGAAGCTGTCGAGTAACAAGACGGTTCGGAGGGTTAGGGTTCGAGGAGGCAACGTGAAGTGGCGCGCGCTGAGGCTCGATACCGGGAACTATTCGTGGGGGAGCGAGGCAGTTACTCGGAAGACCAGGATCCTGGATGTGGTCTACAATGCGTCAAACAACGAGCTGGTGCGCACACAGACTTTGGTGAAGGGTGCCATTGTTCAGGTGGATGCGGCTCCTTTCAAGCAATGGTACCTCCAACACTATGGCCTTGATATTGGGCGTAAGAAGAAGAGCTCCTCTGCCGCCAAGAAAGAAGGCGAGGTATGTACTATGCTAGCCATATTTCCTTCGTTTCGAGTTGTACTTTCTTCAATTCTTTGCTTTGGTTTCGTTTTCATTGCTGGGTTAGGCTTGAGTAGTTTAAATGGTCTGTTTTTTTTTTTTTTTGAGAAGAGGTATATTTCATTAAACAAAAACCCTGTACAACTTGAGTAGTCTAAATGATCTTTGATTTTGCGGCCATCATTTTTTTCGTCAGGTCAGTAGAAATTTAGATTGTACCTGCAATAGCTATTACTTGAATGAGGTGACTAATGCGCGTTTGGAACGTTTCTAGTGTCCAAGGAACAGAAGAGAACTTTCTTTTCTTTTTGTTTCCCTTCTCAGGAACGGCAGAAATGTTCCAGTGGAGAGTTACCCAATGTTGCCTAACTTGTCCTGTCTTAGATGAATGCTGGAACCCTTGGAATTATTTGGAATCATTCAAGTATGTTAGTTGTTTTTCGTTGCTGTGTTTTGATTAGGATTTTTGTTGTACCATGTACCCCTTTTTAACAACAAAACATTCCAAGTTGCTAGTATTGTGTCTAACTTACCTTCGTAGAGATTAGAGAGGGTCCAAGGGGTATCTCTGTTGTGGCATATCATGTATTGTATATTTACTCTCGCCTGTACTGGTTACATGTTTTGCAGTGAAAAGTACAATTTTATCTACGTATACATTACATCATTTAAGAATTTCTAATATTTATTTTATAATGTGATTTATAAACAGACCTAGAAAAGCTAATTAATTCAATAATGGGCTGGTAATATTAAATTACCTCTATACAGAAGAGCTGTCCTAGAAAGAAAAAAGAGATGGCATGCGAAAAAAAAGACCATATTGATAAAAAAGAAAAAGACAATAAAGAAGGGTAAAGTTGGAGAGACAAGTCCTACTTCCGTTGTGTTAGTAATGCCAGCAAAATTATAATTCATTGAAGTTCTAGATTGCATTTGGGTTGTAGTCATGGTTGTCAAGGTGCCAAGGCAAGGCTAGGCAGCAGGGGGGTGCCTTCAACTTCTTCCTTTTTTATTGGCTCAGGAAACCATCAAGAGTTCAACACAGCTACCCTAATTTGTGTGCTGATTGAAGCCTAACAAATTAGAATATAAAAAAGAAGAAAATAACATAAAAATTTTGAAAATATTACAAACACGAAATGAATAATTTAATCTAATAATGTCTATTGTAATATTATAATCTCACAAAAAAATGTTATATGGTGCCTTCTACAACAACAACTAGGTGCATGGGCAAGGTGGCCCCTCCATGAGTGATGGTGCCTAGGTATGTTGACAACTATGCCCTAGTTTATTTTATCATCTTAATAGTTATGGAGATATATAAAAGGATGGTGCCAATCAACTTATTAGCTACTAGGAGAGCTCTCTAGAAAAATAACACAATTTATAAAGTATGATTTCCCATAAATTATGGACTCCCGGCTAAAGGAGAAAAGCAAGAAAACTGAATTCCTTTGAGAGACATGAAATGGCTTTATCTAACTGATATTCTGATGTTAGTTGTGTAACATTGTGCCTTCCTGGCCATGGATCAGATATTTCTGAATGTCGTTACTGGTAGTGGTAAAGACCTGGATTCGTAATAATGGAAAGCTTTTAGTATTTTGTTGTATTTTCCTTTAAATTATTAGAATGATGTAGCTGGCCCCATTAAGTTGGGACAAGGCTTAGATGATGATGAATATCCGAATCATGTATGAGGTGGCCTGTTGAAAAGTAAGGGCAAAAAAAGGATAAGATAGTTTTCTCTCTATCCATCTTCTTTTCTAATATGTGGAATTCATTACATAATCTATCCTACTGGTTGGATATATGGTTGCAAATTAATTTTTGATGTATGTCTGGCTTGATAGCTAGGAATAAGTGCCGGAACATCAGAACTAGCAAATCTATACCCAATTGCTCTCCTATCACATCCAAATAGATCATTTTCTGGCTTTGTGGAGTTCATAACAAAGATGCACCTTCTTCCTTGTCTAAGAGTAAGCTGGAGACTGGTTAGATTGGAAATACATGCCTGTGGGCATGGTTTTGGTTTTCCCTAGAATATTTCTTTAGCAAGGTCAGTCTTGGCTTTTTCATGGAAGACTTCTTTCTCTATTTTTCATGTGCATCAGTTGTTTTTCTCTTTGTTCAAACTAGTTGGGGAATCACGGAAGTGGGTAATGTTTGGCCAAGGGCATATAAGCTGCCTTATATATTGAAGGTTGCTTGGCATTTGTTGAACAAGTGAAGCATGCTTTATGAAGCATTTCTTCTCCATAACTGGTTGGCTATTTTGTGAATAACTTTTCTTTCTTATACAAGAATTGATCATCAATATTCACAAGCCTCTAACTGTAAAAATATATCATTATTTCTGTGTATGAGAGTACATACAGTTACCAACTGAGTGGTGTCTTGGTTGGTACATTAGCTGGGTAATCCCAGCGAAGATGTAGATTCGAGTCCCGCTACCACCTACCTTGGAGAGTTATTAGTATGTTGCGGTAAAATACAAAAAAGAAGTACATACAGTTGTACTTGAATGGAATTAGTTGAGTGGCAAACATGCATTTGCATGTGCAAGAAGTGGTTGAAATGAGTATAGAAGGGAGGGAGGGATGGAGAGAGAGAGAGAGAGAGGGAAAAAGTGTAAAATTTTGCCATTAGTGTATTGACTTTAGATCAAGGAATATATTGGCATTATAAAGTAAATATACGAATAATTAGAATTTATGAGTACATGATTCTTACTGCATCCATCTTAAATATTTGTATTCTGTTTGGATTATTCTTTTGCATTTGCTTCATTTTCTCTATGATTATATTCCTCTGCAAGAGCAATAAGATGTTATGGGTTTGCTAAAAGACTACTCTTACTACTTGCTATTCTTTGCTGAAAGGTTTAATGATTGGGTTGATTTCTATTACTAACAAGATACTGCCTGATTGTTTGATAGGAAGGTGAGGCTACCACTGAGGAGGCAAAGAAAAGCAACCATGTTCTGAGGAAACTTGAGAAGCGGCAACAAGGTCACAAGCTTGACCCACATATTGAGGAACAGTTCAGTAGTGGCCGTCTGTTGGCTGCAATTGCATCTCGGCCTGGTCAGTGTGGTCGAGCTGATGGGTATGTGGAGACTGTTTACTAATCTCAGCATACTTTGTGTAACATGTGATGCAATTCATAGATTGCCGTTAGATGTTTGATCATCATCATCATCATCATCATCATCATCATTATCTTTGCTTTTGGGAATTCAATAAACAACATGTCCATAAAATTAGTGTGGCAGTTGTGTGAATTCTATGGATGAGTGGAAGAAGGATAGGATCTGGGATGAAGTCATCCATAAGAACCTAGGGCTTGGTAAAGTGCATATAAGACCACCAACAGCTCTATTTAGAAGTGATTTGTTACAAGTTGAAGGGACTAGAAGAACTAGAGACAAAAAAAAAAGACATAGGTAAAAGAAATACTAAGAAATGATTTAAGCACTAATAGTTTTACAGTAGATGCGTCTTTAAACAAAACTGATTGATGAAGCCTTTAGATGTTTGATATGGATTATATCATATTTTCCCTTCTTTCTTGTGTTTTTTCTCATTATAAATACAGAGTAGACATAAATCAATAAACATGTACATTAGATCTCTATGGACCAATACCATGCACACCTATATTAAGGTCAACTCATTGTAGATTATAAAGTTTTGAATTCTCCCTAGTGTATCCAAGCTTGATTTCTATCCTCTTAAAATAAATTTCTAATCTTTTGCCTTTCTAAGCAATTATCAAGGATTTTATAAAAATATAAAAAAGATTATATTTATAACTATGATGACCAATTATCGTTAAATGGGGAATCTATTTGGCAACTCATCAACTTTGTTTATGATCCCCCATTAAATGGGAAATCTATTTGAAGGTTTCAGCCTCTTTTGTGGAAATTGCATTGTTCCTCTGCCTTGTTTTCTTTTCTTTTTTTTTTTTGGAAAAGGGGGGGGGTATTGTTTATTAGACGTGGGTTATCTTTTACTAACTTCGCGGTGGGGGCTATCTTCTAACTTGCTAATTGGCTTGACATTGCAACAGATACATCTTGGAGGGCAGAGAACTGGAGTTCTACATGAAGAAGATCCAGAGGAAGAAAGGGAAGGGTGCAGGAGGTGCTGCTTAAGATTTCCAAGACAAACCTTCGCTTGCTAATGACGAGTGTTTGTCTTAATGTCGTGATTTTTAATTTTATATCGACTGTAGATCAGTTGAAATGGGTTTTAGTTAATTTGAATAGGTTTTCTTGTTATAAATTAATGGCTTAGCCGAGTTAGCTATCCGTCTATATTCTAATGAAATTTTGAACAGCTGGTGAGAATGGCCTTCAGTCGTATGGCCTGTATATTCGTTTTCTTGTGTTGTTATTTTCCATGGGTTTTGAAGGTTTCAAACAAATTTCTCAGTTGGGCAAGTGTTGCATTTGTTATCCATCAACCATCAATGATTCCATGTGGTGCGAATAAAACTTGGACAGCCATGTTAAATGTTTTTTTGTCATGTTTTCTTAAAATTCCTTTTCTGCAGCCTTGGTTCAATGAGGGGTTCAGTCATTGTTGATGAAAAATATATCCACAAGAGACGATCTTTCTTAAAATGTTTGTATATTTGTTGGACTTGTTTACAAGAATTAAATAGATAAAAATAGGGTTAATTTCTTAAACTTCTGATGTTTGACAATTGACTAGTTCTACTCTTACTGTTTGCATCTGTTAATAATCCATTAAATTTGTATTCAGTCCTTAAGGAACCCAGATCTGAGTAAGGTCTTTAAGGCACAGTTCTGGCTTAGGATTGACCAACTCTCACCGAGCCTAGTTTGCCTAGGATTGCTCAGACTTCAGAGTAGAAGAGAATGACTCTGTGCCTTGTGCTCGGGTTCTTCTCTTCATTAGCAACTATTATGGCTTAAAGAAGCACCAGATGTAGAAGCAACATCCTTGGTGAAGCCTGGGTGCCAGGCTAAGCTTGGCTTAAAGAAGGTCGTTGGCGAGCTCTTGAGCATTGATCTACCTGAGAACAAGAGAGAGGTGTAGGTTGAGAGAAAGAAAGAGGGGAGACAGAATGACCAAAGAAGCCACCGTTGATAGGAGTTGAAGCGGCAGTGGCATTGGTGCAAAGAGTCAGGATTTGATGATTTGGGCAGAGATTCTTAGGCGGTATCCAATGGTTTGGACTTGGAAGCGAAGTAGCAGCAGTTGTGCGGACTTGAAGGAATCCAGATCTGAGATCTGATAGATACTCAAAACTGATATCCGGTCATCATCTGCCATTCCGGTAGTTCCAATGGTTCTGGACCTTTGGGTAGTTCTGACAAAGAAAATGAGAGGGGGAGATTGGAGTAATCTATAGTGGAGGGTAAAATAATCTTTTTTACATCTCCGTTGATGTACATTAATGATTAAGGAGTAGTCAATTGTCAGAGAAACAATAGAGGTAGTTTTAGTCAAATTTCAAACAGTAATTTAAACCATAGAGGTAACTAATTTATTCAATTAGGCAATTTAAAAAATTTACCCATAAAAATATCTTTCATGGAATTCCTTGCAAAGAAAAAAAAAACAAATGGATTCAAGAAGCCAATATAATATATGTATCAGTTTTTGGATGGAATGATTTGGAAAATTTTATTCATGTTATTCTAAATTAACATTATTAAATTTTCTCGCAAAAAATGAAAGAAGTCCTTATTTTAATAGAAGATTTGGAAACGACAAATCAGTAATTCGAAGTTCGAACTATAACTAAAATAGCGATTATCTGAATGGTCCAAGATCTAGTCGTTAGAGCTATTTATCCTCATATGGTCATATGAAGTATTAGTTCGTTAGACTTAGAGCTATTAATCCTCATGTAGTCATATTAAGCATGGTTTTTAAAACCGACCCGGTGACCGAACTGGTCTGGGTCCAGTTACTAGGTTGAACGGTTCGACCGTTTGGTTTGTTCTGACAAAAATAAAAAATAAAAAACAGTCAAAACTGTTCGAATGGTTCAAATGGTTAACCGTCTGGTTCAGCGGTTTGCTGACCAAAATCAACGGTTTTGTGGGGAAATCTGGTTTTTGGGGAAAACGAAACCGGTCACCTGACCGGTTCTCGGTTTTTTTGGTCCAACTGTCTGGTCCGGTCCGATTTTGAAAACCATGATATTAAGTGGTCGTTTGGTTCGCGGACAGGACAAGTATTAGAATTGGAATTAATTAAACATTTTTTTTAATTTTGTATTAATCTATTTATTATTTTATTAATATTTTATGAATATATCATTATTATTTTATCAATATTTTGTTATTATTTTATAATTAATATCTTAGTATTTATTATTAGATTATGAATATTTTATCACCATATTATTATATTAATAATATTTTTATTACTAGCGGGTCCCTGTGTGATGGACGACCTAGTCCTTAGCCTCCCTGACCAAGTAGGGATGGGGATGGAGATTGCCTTAGTGGGGACAAGGTGGGGATAGGATTAATAGGAATACCCGATTGGGGACAAGGATGGGGATGGGGAGTGAAGTCCACACCCTACATTGACCCTATATATATGTTGTATTAAAAATAATGTTTTTTATGTTATTTATAATATTATTTATATTATATATATCAAAATATGTTTAAAAACATTATTTGCATTCTAATTTTTCCTTTATTTTAAATAAATACCTTTTTGAAAACAAAATTTTAATTAAAAAATTTGAGGATTCAGGTCCATGATGGGGAACTCATCTTCATCGGGGACCGGGAATGTAGGCTAAATTTTTTCTCAACAGGGATTAGGGTTAGAGATGAGGATTAATTTAAAACTCGATGTCAGGATAGGGAGTATGATCTCCACCCCAAACCCACCCATTGCCATTCGTACCCAAGGGGCCATCCCTAAAACCCATAGCACCCCCCAAACCCATAAAATATAGTTCCAATAATTATGGTAATTATAAATGTAGTATCCAATACTTATGGAGATTATTAAAAATTTTTAATTATTTATTTTGAAAAATTGAAATTTTATAATTTAACTTTCACTAAATTAAATTACCAAAATCACAAATTATTGCTAAAAATTATAGTAAATATCAAAATTACTGAAAATATAAAAAATAAACTTACATTTATTGAAATTAATTTTCCACTAAAAAATTAATGAAACATTTTAATTGTTATATAATAATATCATTAAATATTAATAAATTGACCAAAAATACAGAAAATGTAAAAATATAAGTTTATATTTATCGAAATAAATTTCCCAATGAAAATTACCAATATTTTTAATTATTAAATTTGTATTTATTAATATTTTAATTAATTATTATTTTTTAGTAATTATTTATTTTAATAATCAATTTTTCAAAAATCCTGAAATTAAATTACCAAAATAACTAATTTTCATCTAGTAATTTTTGTAATTAAAGTTTCCAACTTACCAAAATTACAAAAAATTATAGTTTAGGTGTGGTATTTACTGACTAATATTCAATAATATCAATAATTATTGAAAATATCAAAAATATTTCACAAATTAAGTTAACTTCCCGAATTAATTTAAACCACATTTTTGGTTTTTAGATGGTTTGTTGGGCATGTAATATAGATTAAGAAGTGTTTTAGGAGGAATTTTAAGAGAGATAGATATTTAGGGGAAATTTTAGGAGGGGCTTGGCTAAGTGATTGGGAACATGTGAGAGAGAGAGAGAGAGAGAGAGAGAGAGAGAAATGGAATGGGACTACTATAGCAAAGAAGAGAGGGCTACACACTAGGAATTTGAGGTGGAAGAAAATAAGATAGTTTAGGGGAAATTTTAGGTCGGCCCGACACAACAATCCACAGGCTGTGCCAGGCCCAGCATGATGGTCCGTGCCGTGCTGGGCCTAAGGTTTGAAGTCCACGGGTCAGTGATCAAGTGGGTCGTGCCACCCGTGGCCCGGCCCATATATACTATATATATATTTATATATATACATAATATTTATATATATAATATTATATAAATCATAATTATATAATAATATATAGTATATAATATATTAATAAAATAAACATTTTTTTCAATTTTACTATACTAATTTATTTAATTATTGTATATATAAGCAATTGTATACATCGAAATTCATATAAAATTAAATTTTTAAGTTTTTTTTTCAAATTTTTTAAATAAATAGGCAAAAATAGCTTTGGCTCGATCCATGGCCCATGGGCCAGTCTGGCCTGCGGCACGGCATGGCACGGGCCCATGCGGGCCTAGGTCGTGGGCCATACCGTGCCGACCCCCAAAATTTTCACCGGGGAGGGTGGCACGGCCTGTGACGGCCCAGGGGCCAGCACAACACAGCCTGCACTTTGCACAGGCCGTGCCGGCACAGCACGGCACTGCCCACTTAGGTTGGCTAAGTGAGAGAGAGAGAGAGAGAGAGATGAAGTGAGAATCTAACGAAGAAGAGAGGGATGCCACGTGACAATTTGGAAGATCTGAGAAAGAGAAGGATGCTGATGTGACCTGTCACTAGTATAGATAATGTTATTATTGAATAATTATTATATTAGTATTTTATTATTGCTTTAATTATATTATATTAATGCACTATTATTTTATTATTATTATTATTATTATTATTATTATTATTATTATTATTATTATTATTATTATTATTATTATTATTATTATTATTATTATTCCCCAAGAATGGGAACCGGAATCCAATTCCTGCCAAACAAACAATAGGATTCCGGTTCCAAGCACCCTGCAAATCATATGGACCCTAATTTAAGAAATTAGTCATTGTTATTGGGTAACCAATTTATTAGTCTCTCTACACAGAAACCAAGTGAACATAACTCGGGCTCAGGGCATCTATTTGCATCTCAGAGGTCATAGCAAGGCAGTGTCGTTGTATTTGGGGAGACTTTACCAAGAAACTGGGATCCAATTATTGCTAAAATAAGTTGGATGATATGGTGACTCCCAGTCCAGGTGCATATTTTAGTCGTGTGGTGGCATTTGGGGGTTACAGATCCAGAGTCAGGAACTGGTGTTATAAGCATCATAATCAGAAAAAAATAATAATAATAATAATAAAAAGCCAAGCCCATCCAAGGATGGTATGGACTTGGGTGATTCGTTTGCCTTAAAACATAATCATGTTCATGGAGTGTGTAAGTGTGTTCCCATTGGTGCTATTGCTATCATATCTGAAAGGTGAAAGTATCTCAATCGTAGTATACATTATGTTTGATAGAATCTCTCTTAAAAATATTATAAAATCTAAAATCTAAATAAGTTGTCTCCAATGACCGAAAGTGCAAATATATTATAAAACCGTAGTAATTTAATTAAATTACTTTTTAACTAGATAGTAGATATGTACGAGTATGAAAAAGTGTAGAGTTTAAATGTTTTTATTGCAAAAGCAAATCTCTACTGAAGCTTCCCGACTTTTAGGTCCGAATAGCAGTTTTACTGCTGGTCATGGTCATACATTGCTTTCTCTTTAATTTAAGCGTGCTCATGGCTCTCAGCAGCATTTCCATCTGTGGGGTGTGGAATAGCAGCATTTGATATCCATTTGTTGTTGTATAAACAGAGGTGAAAATACTGACAGAAAATGAGTGGATATTGTAGTGCTGTAGACACAATACGTAAGAGTACAGGACTGCATGAAAAATGAATCAAATGACGGCACACCACTAGATACTAGAACAAATATAAAAGAACGCCACCTAACATCCTTATATCCAGTGCACGAGATAAGCATCAATATATCAATACTCTCATTTCACCCTGCAAACCCATTAATATGTTAAGCCCAACTTCATGCAAGGAGCTAAATTAGGTTTATGGCCCAAAAGGGTGTATTCAGATCCACCCTATTAATTTCATTGACTGTTGGTTGGTGGTTTCTGCCGGAGGGGGAAAACTTTTCAGATGTTCCCCTAGCCTGGAATATTTGGGATCAAAAGAACCAAAGAGCTTTTAAGAACCAATCAATCAACATTAGGTACACCTACTATATTGACCGAGGAAAAACCTCTTGAACATTTTGGTAATAAAAAATTGGTGCATTGACCCAAATGCCCCTTGAGTTACTCCCTTAACTACTAAGGGTGCTTCACCACTATGTGCTGCTATTTAAGTTTTCAGCAGTATCCATGCTCTTCTCATGGCTCCTGATATAAAGCAATTCAATGTCATGAAATACTTAATAGGGGTTTATATATATACCCATCCTTCTTTTGTCAAGGGTTTCCTCTTTCTCTTCAGTAAATGACTACAAAATCATGTTCTAATTATTAAAAAGAACAGCATGTTATGGCTTAAAAATAGACCTGATAAATATTGTCAATGATATGACATTGGAAATTTGGAATCACAAATGAGCATAAGCACTTTGGCAGTTCAAAATGCCAAAAGCCAGTTGGAAAAAAAAAAGAAAGAAAAAAAAGCTGGTCAAAGTTTGGTGGACCTTGATATTTCTTTAGATGATAATGGTCAAAATGACAAATTTGAATGAATTGGAGAACTCTGGTTCCGATATTGGAAGGTCCATCTCATTCTGCATTTCTTAAAGCCTCAATAAAAGCATCTTTAAGATGAGGGTTTGAAGCTGCTACTCGCTGAGATGTGATGTCAAAGTCCTTGCCAGATCTGATATAAATAAAGCAATTGTCATCAGACCTTAAAGGCTCACCAAGTACTCAAAGAAAGCTGGGATAGCCTCTAAAAGACAAGATAATTAGCACCACATATGACAATTCAGTATCATGGAAGAGAAAATTAATGACTGAATAAATGTACTTTGCAGATTAATTTTGGATTGTCCAGAATATAGATGATATGGTAATATACTGAGTTCTGACTAAAGTCTCCAAGGTGTGTACTGACAATTTTGCACCATTATAATTTAAATAGCTCAGAAGTAATGGAGAGTAAAGATGGGGAGATTTGATTATATACTCAAGAACAATTTGCATGTGATCTTGTTGTGTAAAGTTGAAACTATAGTAACAGTTAATTTGTTTGTTTGTTTCTTAACTAAATGAATAAAACTATAGGTTGTTTGTGATTAAAAAACAGTTAATTGTTTCTTACGGATCAAATATGCATCCTCCTGCTTCCTGAACAATCACGACTCCACCTGCCACATCCCTGAGTGCATAACTCACAACATTAATCATAATTTACAGAGAAAAAAAGTTGGAAATTTTTAAAAGGAAAGTATCTTCCAAATCTATACCAGGGGCCCCCAAATCCAAGCTCGTAAAAGAGATCAAGCCTCCCACATGCAATTCCACAGAGGTTCAAAGCACAGGAGCCACTCATCCGAAGAGATCTTACCTGATAATCTCAGATCTTAGTATGCTTGGGGGTTTCACATTTTGAGTATCAAGAGGTTCAGCTTTTACCTTAAAAAGTAAGCTATTAATTCTATTTGTAGTAGCATCTACAGTTTCCTTGTCACGCTTTGTTCCAACCTGTTCTTGCACAATATTATATGTTCATTAGCTTCTACGCATGTTCATGGAGAAACTTAAGTATTACCTCATTAGTTAATTGCAGTAAAAGCTTTTTATGGTCAAGTATTTTTCCATTTCATACAGTTAAAGTATTCATGTCTATATAATAGGATAATTGTTGAAAAAGGAAAAAAATAATAAATACAGATGCTTAAATCAGTGCACAAACTAAGCAAGCAAAGATTATACTAAATTTTCAAGTACTACAAATTCATAATTCATGTCCAAATTGTGTGTGTGTGTATGTGTGTGCGCGCTGCACGATGATACCTGGAAGATGTCTAATTTTCATGGTCTGTTCTCTATTCATCCAAATTTTCTTCAGTCTTGACACAGAAGCATCCTTTTTTACCCGTGACAACAATCATAGTAGTTTGTTAAAAATCCATTTAATAAAATACCAATGATTGCACCAGTAAGACTAAGGAGTGGCATGGTGTTTGACAGAAAATATGGCCTTTGATAGCATAAAATGGGACAGAATTTCTGTAGCCAGCCCCATATAGTTGGTATTAATGCTGAAATGAGTTGATTTGAGTTTGACCCAAGCTGTTCTAACTTTGAAGTTCCACTACCCACATATGTAAAAGTGATAGTTGGATATAAGCATAAAACATTTGAAGTGGCTTTGATCTGAAATACAATCTTTGGAGGGAAGCAACTCAACTCAATGTTAATCCCAACTATTTGGGGTTAGCGACATGAATCCCGTCCTGCCATTGTGCTCTCTCAAGGAGGGCAATAAGAATTTTCTGAATATAGACTCATGACCAGGCACACGATCTTCCAGGGACATCCCTATGGTCTTTGACGCATTGCCCAGCCTTCTCTAACATGTGGAGTGTTGCAACAATCTTCCAGGGGCTGCTATTGTATCAGTTCAGATGATTCTTACAGGACCAAGATAGGTGATTTGAGCTAATTATTTAAGATGAAAGAGGTTCCCTCAATGTGCAGCCATGATGCCTTCTATGTTGATCATCTTCAATGTTAGAAGGGGCCTTATGAAGGCCAAGGAATCTGGGTTGTGTAACTTAACAGTGGAATGTAATAACCATATGGATGCCTGGGTTTGAGAAGTTTGTGCTACCATTATGACATAGAAAACTCAACTAAGACTTTCTTTGATAAGTAACATGAAAAAACTCAAGCAGCAAGACCATGAGAATGTATGTTGTTCATATTCCTAGGGAGGTGAAATGCTGATGATACCATCAATGATTTTCTAAAGCATCTTATTAGTTCATGTGAGTTCCCTAGTGACCTTTTTCTATATCATAGGGACGATGATAGGTGGTTGATATATGCTTGCAAGTAGTTTCTTTTGTACTCAATAAATTATTTCCTTCCCACCAGAAAGAGAAGTTCAGACGTCACCATTAGTCCATTACCTGAAGGACAGGATACATCCACCTGAGCTGTGGCAACTTAGTACTAGAAGAGAGAAGTTGTTTTAGTTCATCTAATTCACTACCCATTATTCTCTTTTGAGAATAAGCTTATGAGAACAACAAATTTCCCCTAATTAGTAGGAAAATCTGAACAAAAGAATTCATATATAATATAAACTATAACTACCAAAATTCTAGAAAAACACTGTTTCATAATGATAGAAAAAGGAGAAAGCCCAGAAAGCTGGCAACTGAAGCAACATGAGCATAGTTTCACACTCCCACTAGAAAGTTTCTTCAAAAAAGTAAAATACATAAACAAGATAGTGCCATACCTCTGTTGCAAGGAGGGATTTCACCAGTTCTGTTTGAGAAGACACTACAGTATTTCAAGTGATAGCAAGTTGCAGTTTAGAATGCCATGGAACAATAGATGGAAAAAGGGAAATATATGATTAAATATTAAGAAAAAAAACTCACCGTTTATTTTGTTTCCATTAAGAAAAGCACCTTTTCCAAGAATCCCAGTAAACATCTATAAACCATAAAATTAAAAATCAGACTTGACTTCACACTTTTCTTGATCTGTAGTATATTGTCTTATTGAAGCAAAATTCTATACATAATAACTAAACCTGAAAATAGAACTTTTAACCCCAAATAGGCTGTTCTTGTCATACTAAATTCATGAAATTCCACAAGTATGAAATACAAAGAAAACAACTGACTACATAATTGCATAATGAAAAATACATCTAATCTATTTAAAACAAACACCACACAAAGAAAATCATTAATAAATTATTCTAAGCATGGCAAAAATTCATTCAAGTGGATTTTGCTATTTAAAACAAACATGAAAAGTGTAGATGCAGTGAGTTTTGCTTCCTGCGAGCATTTTCTTTGTGTGGTGTTTGTTTTAAATAGATTAGAATAATTTAAAACCATCAACCAATAAGTTTAACTCAAGATACTATGCCAAAAATGCAAAATCATTAATAAATTATTCTAAGCATGGCAAAAATTCATTCAAGTGGATTTTGCTAGTTCTCCAAGTTATAATATAAGGTTTATTAACATTTATTGGTAAACCTTCTGTAAAGTGTAGACTGGACAGCTAGCCTAGGCAATTGGTGTTCCGTATAAGATTGGAATATGATAGTGCTAGATGAAAGTATTGCTTGTGATAATGAACTCTAACCTCATCAAGTATTGGGTTGTACACAACACCAACAGTAGGAATCTTTCCAATTGTAAGACCGATAGAAACACATACAAAAGGGAACCTACATGTAATTAGGGCGTGAGACCAAATTAATATAAAGATGAAAATGAAAAGAACAAAATAAGAAGCGTCAAAATAGAAGAATTCGTCGTTAACCTATGAACAAAATTGGTCGTTCCATCAAGTGGGTCGACAATCCACGTTGGGTGGTCGGTCAGTTCTGTAGCACCGCATGCAGCAGTAGTCTCTTCTCCAATAAACTAAGAGAAACATCGATTAAAACAACTTAAGAAAATGCTAGTAATACAAAATCCCAGTTTTGGGCTTAGCATAAAATTAATCACCTTTATACTTATACATATGGAAAAAGAAAAGAGAAAATAAGGAAAAAAAGATTCACCTTATGCTCCGGTAAATGCTGCTTAAGGTGATCAAATATAAGAGCTTCACATGCCTTATCAGTTTCCGTTACCAAATCCACCTTCATTAGAAAATGAGAATAGGTAGAATAAAAAAGAATAAGCAATTAATTACAAAAGGCTACAATTTGTATTCCACAAGCACAACAAAATTCCTTCGAATTCTGATTTTGAGATTATTTTGTAAGAGGGGAGAATGCATCAAGTCATAGACAAGTAAAAACTCAACATTCCATTTGTTTTGTTTCCCCAAAAATTTATATATTCTCATGAACCCTGAGAATTTTCTTCGAGTTTCTAACTTTCTATCTTTTCTTTTTTCTGGCAATATATCTCAACAACCTAAATGAAGGCAGAACGCCAAAATGTGGAATAGACTCAAGACTGAAAATGCCCAAGGTCCCCACCAGAAGTAAACTAACGTCAAAAGAAGAAAAGATGAAAAAGGAAAATAAATGAAAAAAACCTGGCCTTTATGCTCGACATGCTTCGCGTGGTGAAATCCTTTGCGAATTATCTGTGAAAAAAAAGAGAGGAAAAAATGAAGGCTTGCAGAAAGCGAAACACCAATAAGTTAGAAAAGAAAATAACCAGGAGTTTGAGAATTCAGGGATTCTAATTACCTCTCCAGCCTTCTTTGCTGCATCAACGGCAACGGCAAGGAACTCTGCTAGAGAATCTATTCAATAAAAATTTCAGGACAGAATTAGGGAAAATAAAAATCACTAATAAACATGGAAAAACGATACGAAGAACAGGAAGATGCATCGAAGGGGGAGGGGAGCATCGCCTACCACTTTCACCCATTTATTCGCAGTTGTTACGAGAAGAGCAGGAAACGAGACGCTCTGTTTTGCTATGGAGTCTGGGCACTGGGCTCTGGCTTCTCGCTTCCAAAGATCCTGGGATCTTACGTAGTAGTCGTGTAATAAGAGAAGTGAAGCTTCAGTGCTTTATATTTATCGAGAGAATAATAAGCAAATAATAATGCCCCCGGATTTAAATAAAATTACAAGCCATCGGACGGCCTGGATGAATGGAAAGTCCATGAAGAAGCGAACGAGAGATCGGATTGAATTTGGGATCACATGATCTATCTGACGTAAGTTAATGGTGTGATTTAACTACACGAGGTGAAGCAGACTACACTGCCGAGTTGCACATATTTTTTATGTTTTTTGAGGGGATTCACGTTTACAAGCAAGGATTCGAATAAAAAGAAAGAAAAGCAAAAAGAGAGACTGAAGGGTGGTGGTTCTGGAATCTGGACTTCTCGTGTCTCCCGAGAGAATGGAATACTGGGAACACGTGGTGGATCATTTTCATTTTCCGTCCACACGAAATATTCCATCTTGGGGCGTTTTTTCGTAGTAACATTGCTAGTAGGGAGCTATAATAAAATAAAGAACATTTTAGGAATATTACAAGGGATATTCGGAAATTCTGGTCCGTTATTATTGGGTTCATCTCAACTCAATTGTCATGGGCCAACACTCCAGCAGTCAAGTTCAACTTGAATTCTTGAATGTTGATGGAAAGAATATACTCGATGGGCTGGACTATTTTTAGAAGTATTGTGCGAGATAGGATCCAATGATCATGCCCCACACCAGGGCCCATAGTTGTTCAATCTCTCACCGTGGATCTAATGTATTTTATCACTGACGTGGGATATTATTAATTTTTTATTGGTTCCACAATCCTTTGCTCAATATTCCAGCTGTTGGGAGCATCAGCCTAGGCAATTGGACACGTTTTTGGGGAAGGCATGTTAACGCACGCAATCAGCTTATCTTTCTTTTCGGTTAAATGGAAAATTCTTGAGTGTTCTTTGGCCCCCCGAACCGTCGCATTGAATATGAATTTGGATGAACAGTTGGTTGATTAGTTGAATTTAAGCGAATCCCTATCAACTACTACTGTTTTATTTTATTTTTCCAAAATGCCATGCATTGAGTGATGGGATCTCCTCATCTCCTAGAAGCAGAACAACTCCATAAACATTTTCTAAGTGTGGGTATTTTTTAGTCGAGTCCGGATCTTCTATCCACAAGAATTCTATTCACATCTACCCATATAACACCACAGCCATTCATGGAGAATATCTCATTCTCTTATATATTGTTATGCACGGGAAGATGTTTCCAATAGTGTTTTGTGGATAGACACGAGTAGAGAGTTCTTGTGAGTAAGTGATCTGGAATCCTTTTAGTCACACATTGGGAACAACTCATATGAATTCAAATACATGTACCAGAGATTTTCTAATATGTGGCCGGATATCGTGCTCCTTGTTGAGGCTGATGATCCTCCCACTTTGGTGCCCCATGTGACTATTGTGACACTTGCAAGCATTTCTTAAGGCTGTGCTTGGAACTGATGTAAAATTTTGCATACGTTAATTCAATTTTATCATCATTGGTGTAAATATTTACGTTAATTCAATTTTATCATCATTGGGAAGGAGTGTATAATCATGATCAATGTAAAACTCTACTCCGTTTCAATTTTGCATACGTTTGGATGGAATGGAGTTTTATACCGTAAGTCAATGTAATAGTTTATTAAAACAGAGTCGTACATTGATTATTGATGCTCGATGTAAATATTACATCGATAAAATCAAAGTAAAACTTCACTTTTTCATGCACAGTTCTCGAAATTCAAACGATTACTTTTGAATGGTTTGATGTAAAACATCATTTTACATCGGTTCCAATTGCAGCCTAATCTTCTCACTCTTGGCATTGTTGTTCAGTCAGTAGAGTCTAACATTTTGTGTTGTATTCTTTTTGGGGATTTTTGGACTGCAATCCCCCTAAGAAATTGAATTTGCAGCCCCCACCCCCTATAAACCACATCCTGCCCGTGAATTTGGCATCAATCCACATTCAATCCACCCTAGCTCCACCTAAGGGCTAAGGGTGGACAGAACGGTAAAATCCCCGTTTTGTAATGTGAGAATTATTTATGAATGAAACTTGCCTCTTTGGCTTCAAAAAATAGTTATTAATATTTTAACTTTAAGCCTAAGATTAAAAAAAAAAACAATTAAACGAACCAACCGATATTGATCAGTTAACGAACCATGAGCACCCCTTCCATTTCTTGTGTTCAGCTAACAAAAGGCATTTAAATTAATTTTTTTCCGGAAACACCAGAAATATTCCAGAAAAACGTTGCCTTTCCATCCTACTAACAGTATAAACCTAAAGCTGATGTGAGATAGAAACTGGACTCGCAGTTCAATCCTAGTTAGATATGAACCCACTCACCCGGCCACCCCCCGGCTGTGTCTGAAAAAGGCCTTAAAATATTTTGTTTTTTTTTTTTTTATCGTATATTGGAAACATCTCCTGATGATAGTACCAGAATCGATGATGTCATCATCGGGAGACGATCTCAATACACGACAAGGATGTGCTATGGGACGTTGTGGGGTGCAGATCTGAACTCAAAATGTTTTTTTTTCTATATAATTTGCTTTTGAAACCATTACATCAGAAAAAAAAGGGACTATAGCTGATAAGGGCAACTTTTAGGCCCTAATATTAATAAAAATAATACTTTTAATATAATTCCTAAAATAGGTTAATTTTTTTAAAATTATATCAAATAAGGGCAGAAACATTGTTCATCTTCTTCCTACTACAAACCATCCATCAGTGCCATCGCCTCCGACAACGCCTCCGCTCACCTTCGCACCAACCTTGCAAATCTCAATGACTACCATCCACCAGTGCCGTCGTCGCCACCTTCGCCTCCACCATAGCCCCGCGAATCTCAATGACTACCATCCACCAGCGTCGCCGCTGCCGCCTCCGCCCACCTCCTCCCCAACCCTACAAATCTCAATGACTACCATCCACCAGCATTGTCGCCACCTTTGCCCACCTCTAGCAACACCAATCAAATGACATGAGGTGGCCGACGACGTTGGAGGATGGTGGTCATTGAGATTTGCAGGGCTGGGCTGGGGTGGAAGTGGTTTGGAAGAGAACAGATGAACAATGTTTTTGCCCTTATTTGATATGTTTTTTAAAAAGTTAACCTATTTTAGAAATTTTATTAAAAGTATTATTTTTATTGCTATTAGAGTCCAAAAGTTGCCCTTATCAGCTATAATCCCAAAAAAAAAAATTAAAATGTGTTCTTAACAAGCTTATGGGCTTCACTCCCCGGATAAAAAAAGTATGTTAACACGCGATCATGTCACTACATCAAGCCATGCATTGAGAATCCCACTTTGCTGGATTCATTGCTGTCAGCATGTTAACACACATTTTGAACTATATTTTTGTTTTAAGATGCAAAGGACAAAATAATTCATGTTTTTGAAACCATTAAAGTAATGCTTCAGTTGAAAAGGAAAAAAGAAATACATACACAACGAAAGAACATTAATTCAGTGTTTCTGTGTTAAGAATGTTCAGAATCAAATGGTTTTGATTTGTTTTTGAAACAAAAACAAGAAAACCAATTCACATTGGAGAACACCCCCTACTTTTGCTGCTTCTCATACGTTCTCACAGCAATCCTATATTTTAAATTTTAAATTGGTGTCTTAGTTCATTAGAATTACATGATTCAGTTGGTTTCCTTGTTCCCGCAAGGGTTATCACACGAGTTGTTTCCTATTAAAGCTTTCTGGGGGATACTTTGACTCTTGGGAACTTCTAATAAAACGGTTAAGCCAACCACGTGGAGGGTCTCATCATCACTTTATTTTCTTAAATATATATCAAATCATAGTAATCCAATACGAAAAAGCAGAGCAGAAGAGTGGAGATTAGAATCGAATGACAAGAGAGGTGGAAAGAGATTTATTGTATGCATCTTGTTGGGACCAGGTGTGTCAACCAAAAGACAGAGGAGGCTTGGGTATTAGACCCCTAGAAGTAGTCAACAAGGCAATGCTCAGATGATTCTGGAGATATGGGTCAGAAAAGGAAGACCTCCCTATTAAGGAAGGTAATCTAAGCCAATATCGAGATGAAAGGCAAGGATGGACTACAGAGGAAACCCAAATGCCTTATGGAGAGTCAGCATTTGGAAAGGTATTTCAAAACTCAAGCAATTTTTTGGCCTAACATCAGCTTCAACCCAGGTAGTGGTGAACATACAGCTTTTTGGAAAGACCCCTGGCTCAGCAATCAATCCTTGAGACCCATTCATGGACTACTTTGCAATTTTGGGAAAGCAAGGGGTGTGGAGCCCTGTGATGAAACGTAATTTAAATGATAGGGAAGTCCTCCTGAATCTGTTATAGATGTTGCTAGAGCAGGTCCAGCTTGATTCATCTATGCAAGACAGTGAGATGGAAGTTGGAAGCCTCAGGTGATTTCACTGTCAGATCCTTTTTTTAGAGTTTTGAACTAAGGTTCTTTGGTCCACATTATGAGACCACCTTGTCAGAAGAGGTATGGCCATAAACAACCAACAGTATCTTTTGCCAGTCAGAGAGAGAGAGAGAGAGAATTCACTTACCGCTTATGGTGTCACTTTTTGCAGCAGTTCAGAGTGACAATAGTGTTCCCTGAAGATCTGGACCCCCTCATAGCATGGTAGCCTGCCAAAGATGTTTTGTAGGAGGGGAAAAAAGTTACGGCAATTAGTTCCAGGTGCATCATGTTGGATTATCTAGTTGGAGTAGAACAGTAGAATTTTTCCCCAATCGATCACATAGCTAGAAAGATTGATTGGGAGGGTGAAGAGAAATTTGATTGAATGGACCAAAGTGCTATAAGAGTTGGGCATGAAACCAGCAGTAGATTACAAACCAGTGGGAAAGAATTCCTTTTGTGGATGGGTAAATGGATGACCAACAGTGTAACATTTTCTGTAGCTACTATACTTTTTGATTTCTCATTCCTATGTACGATGCCTTGGTGTACAAAGGTCATGATGTATCCTTTTGACATATTCCCTGTTTAATACAAATCATACTCTACCTTTAAAAAAAATATACAATTTTGTTAAAAGACAAAAATATTGAGGGGAATTAATAATTATACTACTAAATTAGAAGGGTGAAATTATCCTTGAGAAACCAGAAGGCAATTTACAGTGGATTTATCATAACTCAGCAAAAAAATTGAAGAGAACCCACTGAATATGATGTAATTCGAAAACCAATCCAAATTTTACATTATATCAGAATGTGATCATACATTGGCTAGCAGCACTACTTAAGGCTGATCTCTGGGTTCCAGGGCAGCAATTTCTTGTACAACTTGAGCTTTATCTGCTTCAAACTGTTCATCCTCTGTAATGAAACCAAGTTTAGGAAAGGAAAACGTAGCACAAAAACTTTTACAATGTAGATTCTAGAATGTGCTTGAAAAAAAGATGACGAAATTCCTTTTGTACCTTTCTCAGTCTTGAAGTTGCTAAAGAATCGAAGAAGTTTGCTTCTATTTTTAACAAGTATGCCAACAATTTCAGGAGGTTTATTTTGATTAGCAGCAAATAGCTGTCAATAAATAAAACTAAATAAGTATATTTAAGGAACTAAAGGTGATTACATAATAAAAAATGGCCTCCATATATCAATATCAAAGACAATACCTTGAAAACATGAAATGCCTCTAACTGAATGTTCTTGCTTGATTCCTGCAAGTCAGGATCCACCAAGTCCATACTTAGAGGGATTTAACTTGAGAAGTAACAATAAACATGTACTTCAATAGTTTAGTATCACGCCAAGAAAAAGTGGATGCAACAAATTTGCAATAAGTTGTAGTTAAAAAAATTGGTGGATATACATATAGGAAACTATATATGAAAGGTGGACTGGTGATACAAGATTCATGCAGGATGTAGCCGACCCCATATAATAGGTATAAGGCTTGGATGATGATGATGATGAAGCTATACACAAAAGGAGTTTGCAATATGTTGCAAAATAAAATATCCCTTGTATAAAATCATCCTTTAGAAAAAGGAATTATACATCTACTGATACATACATGCTACATTTTGATAGAATGAAAGACATAGATCTTACCCTCAGAAGATTCATTAGGATCATCAAGTTGTCCTTTGAACTAACATACCGCATCATGATGGATGAATTTGCACGATCAAGTAAAATGTCTCCAAGCAGCTGAAACAAATTAGCAATGCTGTCAGCAAAAGGATTGCCATGACATAGTCTAATGATGATTAAAGAAAACTATAACCAGGATCATAGCATCTGATATGGAGCAATAGATTGGTTGAAGAAATGTGAATCCATTTAGAATCCTCATTGAAAGAAATGAAGTGCTCACAATAAATGCTTAGGGCAATTCTTTTATACATCTTAAACAAATAAAACAATTCTTTAAATGGAACTGAGATTAAACCATGTAGTTCACATAGTTTATGACAACAAATTATTTGGTTCACACAGTTCTGTCCAATTTCCTAATCAGACTGGTTCAATAACTCAACCAATCTGAAAAAAGGACCAGTTCCCATCCAGTCTGGTTTTTAAAACATTGGTTTGAGAATCACAGGAACATTTTTCTCTCAGTCCAGAACATTTCTTGATTCCTCCACACACAGCATACTTTCCCATAATTTAACCTATTCAACTAACATAGTTTTATCCTTAATCCAGCCTTTTTGCTAAACTAATCCCTTAGCAGTCTCATACAGCTTCAACCCCAATTACACCTAACTGACCATATCCAGGAAATGCTTAAATATCACACAACATCTTACCAGTTTAACCTACTGGTGATTCTTGTAGTCTGGAAATCAACATTACTGAGGTTAATTCTGTGAGCAGCTCTAATGTTCGTCAAATCCCAGAAACACAGAATCTATTGCCCACTCTAACCTTAACCCATCTATTTGTGGTCACTAACTGCATGTATGTTCAGCCATAGGATAGCTGCACAAGATTCCTATGCCCAATAGAGATACAATACTAACAGTCCATAAAGATAATTCAATAATTTCACAAGATAGAATTCACAGTTCATGGTAAAAGGATAGGATTCAATGCACCATTACTATCATATTATTCACTAACAAAGCAAACAGAATTTGGAACTTCGAACATCACACTCCTGATTACCTTGATAGCTTGCCTTCTGGTAATATAATTGGAAGATTCTAGAAGCTTAAAATTATACTCTTCAAAAAACTGCAACCAGAAAAGGAGAGGTTAGAGAAGTATCACAGCTAAGAATAGCAGCCAAAAAGGTTCATAAATAAAAATAGTAAATGAAAATGAATGAAAAAATGGTTGAATATCTTTTGCTCCAGTCATAAAAAACAGACTAAAGAAATAAAAAGAGAATTACTTACTTGATTCAAGTCATATTGTAAACAAAATTAGTTACACTTCTAATAAAGAACAGAGATTTTGTAAATAAACAAAGTAAAAGAAAAATAACATTTACCCAGTCATAATTTTCTGTAAGAAATTCAGCTACAGTAGACTTGTGCCTTGTCAAGAGTTCCTGAAACAAAATTTAACAGTAAAAACAAGATTTTTGCCATTTGAGATGTAACTAAAGCACAAAATAGACATATACATTATTTGACATATAAAGAGTCACAGTATGTTAAAATGTAGTATATGTTTCTTTTCAACTCAATAAAGTTTTACTAGTAACTGGAATATCCCCGTTTGGTGACTGCTAAAAGAAATGTAGGAACTAAAGCAAAAGTGCATCAGCACATCATATTCCTGTCAAAAGGCAAAACAGATTACTTGGTGGCTGTTTCTTCTCCTTTTTGTCCTAGTACTAAAAATGGTCACTATGGGCATCATCACCATGTTAAAAGACAAATAATTCATTTTATGGGCCAAAACTGGCAAACAAGTTAAGGCACTCCCTTAGGCTGTGTTTGGTTTGAAGGGAAAGGTAGGGGAACCCATACAAGGTTTGTACAGGTTTCCCTTCCTTTCCCCACATTTCCTTCAAACTTAACATAGCCTTAATAAAAACAGAATTTTTTCAAGTGCTATTGAAAGCTACAGGCGTAAAAGAAATTCTAGTAAACCATGTCAGCCAACATTATCATGTTGAAACATCAAATCCCAAATGGCCCAGGAAGTTTCCACATGGCAAGTCACTTTGTGGTGCAAAAGCGAGTCCCCAAATTCATTTCCTCATCCAATATTAATGAAAAGGATTCTTGGTCCAAAATACCTTGCCACACTTTCAAGATAAGCTATTTCTCTGGGGAATCTTAAATTAAAAAATTGAGAATTTAGAGGACTACTATTGATCGAACAAGTTCAATCAGAGGTGGAATAGGACTGGAGTCGAGTGCAGAATTTGGCAATTAGCTAATCCAGAGGGTCCCCTATCCAACAAATGCTCTAGATTGGCCACAAGATCCTCCATGTAGATAAAACATAATAGGTCATACTGATAGCATAAAAAAAGGTACAGGTCATTTATGTAAGCTCCCTATTTGACCCAATTAGAAAACTTATATACAGCACAGCACCATGAAATGGCATCAAAGCACAGCTTAAATATGGGGAAGGACAATGTGGAGAGGACTAAGGGCTGCAGTATATTGGACACTGTGGGAAGAAAGGAACTCCAGGATATTCTCAGAAACTCAGAGAGGGACAGCAGATTTGAGGGCTATCATACAGTTTAGGGCGGTACAGTGGCTGAAATCTCTGGAAATATTCACGGATTACACTGTGGATGACATGTTGAGGAAGTGGGGTGAAATTG